CTCTCCCTCTTTCAGGGGAGGGGAGAGCAGGGGAGGGGCGGGGGGGGGCGGGAGGGGCGAGTGACCAAGACCGGAGGACGGAGCATGAAGTGATGTTCCACGGGAGGCAGGGCCCGAAGCGAGGCTCGAGACAAAGAGAGGGAAATGCACGCTTTCTGGATGGTTCGGCGTGTGCATGCGAATGTGTCCTTGGCCGAGGGGCAATGGTGGGACCATCGGCGCCGACGCAACACGCCGCCCGTGTTTCCCCGGCCCGGGAGCGAGGCCCAGGCATGATGGCGTAACTATTAAACTGGACCCCGCGCTGGGGAGGGGGCGGGGGGGGCGCGGTTGCCGATGTAATACGGCGAATTAAAGCCCCTCACCCCCCCTCCCCCGGGGGGCTACAGGATGTCCCACACTCGTGTGTGCGCCAGGGCGCTTGGGGGGGGGGGGGGGGGGCGCGACTCTCTCGGGCGCCGGGGGCTTTCGCGAGCCTCGCCGTTTCCGCGGCGCCAGCCGGCGGGGACGTTCTCTTTGACATGTGCTTGGTGTGCATGCCTGCAGCTGTTCCAGCCGGGGGCAAGAGGCCCGCCCCGTTGGCTCTTCAAGGGTGCACCTAGAGTCTAGCTGCCGGTCTCGGGGCTGTGTTCCTTTGCCCGCCCTCAGGGGAGACTTGATATGAGGGGACTTTGCCCGGGCGCGAGGCTGCAAGTCGACCAGGTCCTTAACCCCGATTCGCGGTGGATGACAGTTCCCCGCCGGCTGACCCTCCCGGGGAGTGTGTGTCTGTGTGTGTGTGTGTGTGTGTGTGCGTGTGCGTGTGCGTGTGCGTGTGCGTGTGCGTGTGCGTGTGAGCGGCCAGGCGGGGCAGGACGGGGACGGGGGCAGAGGGGCCCACCCTTTTTGCGGGCTGGCTCGGCGATCACGCCGGGGTCCATATTTGTCGGCCTGGGCCGAAGGACATGTCTCCCGGCCCCACCCGTTTGCATGCCAGGCCGCCTGCCTGCCTGCCTGCCTGCCTGCCCCCGCCTTCCGTGCCGCCCACCCGGATCAGGGCTTTCTGGAAGTCCCGTCGGGCTCCGGCCCCGGTGTGTGTGTGTGTGCGTGCGTGCGCGCGACTGGACTCACTGAGAGAGTAGCCCATACACATCCCTGGACGGAGAAACGAGCCGCAAGGCAGCAGGGGGGCACAACAGGCTGCCTGTCTGGGGAAGGTCAGTGTCCACCCAGCTGCCGGTCTCTCGTTGGCATCCCGAGCCGGAGAGGCGTGTGTCTCCATCATTGGGCCCCCGGCCGCTGGGCCCTTTCCGGGCGCCCTCGACCGGCGATAACGAGCGCCGAGGGGGCCGTCCGGGGACATATGTAGAGAGTCCTGTCACCCATCCGGGGGAGGGGGGAGGGGCAGCCGCCCCTGGGAACATTCAAGTGGCGGCAGGCCACTGGCCGGAGGGCGCCGGCGACCGTGAGATGCCATCGCCCATCGACCTCCCCCTCCCCACCTCCTCCTCCCTTCTCCCCCCCCCGGCTCCCTCCTTTCCCCCTGCCAGATCCCCCTTCCCCCTTCTCTCCCACTCTTCGGCCCCGGTCGCACTGGCGGAAGCGAACAGCCTCCTCCATCCCTCCCCCCCCCTCCCCCCTCACCCGCCCTCTCGCTTTTTTTTTGCCCTCCATCTAAGCGAGTCCAATCATGGCTACTGCGAAGCCCGCCCCCGCCCCGTCCAAGGGTGTCGCTCCCTCCCGCTCCTCCATCCTCAAGGGGCCTACCTCCTCCAAGCTGGTGCGTTCTCGGCAGCCGCGTCCCCACGCCCCCGCCCCCCGCCCCCGCCCCCGCCCCCGCCCCCCCCCCCCCAGAGCCCGACTGACATCACCTTGCCGCCATCTCACACGCACACAGTCCCCTGCCGAGGAGGATCGCCTTCTGCGCCTTGACGTCGAGCGGCAGGTTATGGTCCTGCTGAAGTCCGTCGACGGTGCCCTCGAGGCAGTCGAGGACTTTGAGCCCGAGGAGCCGGCCCCGGAGTCGGTTGATCTCCAGGCGGTCACCGTGGCCGTGAAGCGCCTGCGTGAGTTGCTCTGCTCGCGGTCCTCCCACACGGAGCTCACCTCCTCCACCAAGGCCGGCTCCGGCAAGGCCGGCAAGAAGTCTGATGCGCCCACCACGGCGGCCGGGTCTTCGGCGACCAGCGGGTCCTCCGTCAGTGCCGGCTCGAACCCCCTCAAGTTTCTCCTCAAGTTCTACACTGGCCTGACCCAGGTCTACAAGACCTGGAAGTCGGCCGACGCGCTCGGGAGCTCCAGCCTGACCAAGTCGTGCTGGGCTGTCGGCCTCGGCGTGCGTCGTTTCACCTGCCCCCCCCGCCCTCCTCTCCGTTCCTCTCCGCCCTCGCTCCCACCCTCTGGGTGCCGCCTTTGCCCTCGTCCATGGCCGCTCGTTCCCTCCCCCCCCCCCTCCCTCCCTCCCTCCCCCCCCTCACTAACCCGTCCTTGCTCATGGCATCAGGTGGACTTTGCCGATATCCTGTCCTTCGTGTCCATGATCTCCGGCGAGCCGGAGGCGCGTCTGGTGCTGCACTATCGCCTGGAGGGCACCGTCGGTGATGCCACCGGCAAGGCCCTGGCCGAGTGGGGTCACGAGTACATTCGGTGCGTGCCAAAGCCCCAAGACCACTCACGCCTCTCTCCCCTACCTTCTGCCACCCTGACCTTCTCCCTGCTCCCTTCGCCCGTTCCTTTGCCCTCCACCACCGCCACCGCCACCGCTACCGCCACCACCGCTCCAGCTTCCTGATGAACGAGATCATCGACGAGTACACCCATCGCTTCGACCAGCTCCACGGTGAGGCCACGGAGGACGATGGCTTCGACCAGATGGACGTCGAGGGCAACCTCAAGGTCGAGGCCGAGGACCTGCTGAAGTTGGCACGCGACATTGTTCCCTACTGCATGTCGCACAATGCCGAGGTGGACGCCTGTGACCTGCTGATGGAGCTCGAGTCGCTGGAGCTGCTCGAGCCCTTCGTGGACCGGATCAACTGCGACCGGGTCTGCAACTACCTGATCAGGTGCGTTCGCATGCACTTGCCAGTCTGGTTCGGGTGCTCTGATGCCCATACAGACGCCCTGTCCCGTGTGTGGGTGCCTGGTTGCGGGCTTCCACTCGGCTGCCCCCCCCCCCCCCTTCCCCTCCCCCTCCCTCCCTGCCAGTGTTCTCCTACCACTTCCCTCAGCTTGGCTGACTCGCCAGCAATTGGCTCCATCTCGACTTCTCTCCTCGCCCTCCTCACCCTCCCCGCCCTCCTCACCCTCCCCGCCCTCCCCACCCTCCCCGGCCTCCCCGCCCTCCCCGCCCTCCCCCTCCCCCCCGTCCTCCTCGCCGTCCGTTTGGAATAGCTGCGTCGACTACCTCCCCGACCCCGAGGACAGCATGGTCCTTCGCTCGGTCTACACCATCTTCATGTCGCAGGGGCGCCTGTGCGATGCGCTGGTGGTGGCGGTGCGCCTGCAGGACCCGCTGCTCGTGCGCAAGACCTTCCTCGATGCGTCCGCCGACCAGTCCACTCGCCGGCAGATGGCCCTCATGCTGGGCAGCATGCAGGTGGACGTCCTGTCGGAGCTGCCGTGCGGCACGGCCGGCGTGGAGGCCGGCCTGGCTGCCATGGTCGATGAGGCCGAGCTGCAGGAGCTCACCGACAGCCTGAACAACAGCCACCAGACCAAGCACTTCCTGAAGTTGGCCCAGGAGCTCGAGGTCCTGGAGGCCAAGAGCCCGGAGGACATTTTCAAGGTCCACCTGGAGACGCAGCAGCGGGCCTCCTCCACGGCCAATGTCCCGACCGTGGTGAATGCCTTTGTGTCGGCCTTCGTCAATGCCGGCTTCCAGAGCGACCGGTATCTGGTCGGCCAGGACCTGAGCGACCTGTCGCTGGGGGTCACCCCGCGCGGGGCCCGCACCCTGCCCTACAACAACCTGCACCTGGGCAACCAGCCGGCCGCGCGGACCATTGTCGCCGCGGCGCTCGGCATGCTGTCCATGTGGGACATCGATGCCGGTGTGGCCCTGCTGGATCCGCTGCTGACCGGTGACATGTCCGAGGGCGCGGTCTTTGGCCTGGGGCTGGTTAGCTCCAATGTCCGCCACCAGATGGACATCCTTTTCCTGATGCTGAGTGGCTATCTGGAGAGCGATGACCCGCAGGTGGTCCGGTCGGCGGTCCTGGCCCTGGGCATGGCGTATTCCGGCTCCGGGCGGCCGGATGTGGCCGACCTCCTGTGCAACATCCTGGCCGACCCGTCGCAGCCCTTCGATTTGTGCTGCTTCGCCGGCCTGGCTCTGGGTCTCGTGCAGGCCGGCACGGCCGATGGCGAGTCCATCGCTGCCTTCCTGGATGCGCTGATCTGCCGCGACCAGCAGGCTTCCGCGTGCACCGGCCCGACGGCCGCGGCCCCCGGCGGTGCTGCCCTCTCCTCGGACCCGTGCTCGCACTTCCTGGTGCTGGGTCTGGCGTTGCTGCTGCTTGGCCAGCAGGAGAAGGCCCGTAGCATCATCGAGGTGGCCAAGGCCCTCAGCGATAAGGAGCTCATGCGCATGATCCAGGCCCTGGTGCCGGGATGCGCGTACGCCGGCACGGGCAATGTCTTGCAAATCCAGCAGCTTCTGCACATGCTGACCGAGCCTCTGACCCCGGCTCCCAAGGAGGGGGCCGCTGCTGCGGCCACCGCCGAGGCCGAGGAGGCCGAGGAGGCCGAGGAGGCGGCCATGGCCGCGGCCACCGAGGCTGCCGCCGGTGCCGAGTCCACCACTCCGGCCAAGAGCACCGCTGCCGGTGCCCAGGTGACCGATGTGCCGGACTCCGATGAGGAGGATGCCGGCTCGGAGGAGCCGGCCTCCATCACGGCCCGCTTGCAGCAGGCCGTCTCCAACAGCCGGAATGTCCAGCCCCGGGAGCGCAAGCTGTTTGGCGAGCTGCTGGATGAGGAGCTGGAGCTCAATGACGAGGCGCCTGCCGGCGACTCGACACGCAAGTTCCTGCTGGACTTCCAGTCGCTGACCCGGGGGATCGACCCGGCGGCCGCCGCGGCCGATGCCCAGGGCAGCGATGGCGATGGCGATGATGATGCCGAGGCCCCGTCGCACCCGCACCAGGCCTTCGCCACTTTGGCCATCGGTCTGATTGCCATGGGCGAGCGCATCGGCGTGGAGATGTCCCTGCGCATGTTCGGGCACATCATGCAGTACGGGTCGCCGGATGCGCGTCGTGCCGTGCCGCTGGCCATTTCGCTCATCCACGCGTCGGACCCGCGGGACATCGCCGTCATCGAGTCGCTGTCGCGCTACTCGCACGATGATGACCTGTCCGTCGGGTATGCGGCCACCTTCTCCCTGGGGATGATCGGCGCCGGGACCAACAATGCCCGTATTGCGCAGATCCTCCGCCAGCTGGTGGGGTACTACCAGAGCCCGAGCACCGGGGTCCAGTGCGTACGCATTGCCCAGGGTCTCCTGCACATGGGCAAGGGCCTGATCACCATCTGCCCGGTGATGATGCGTCATGGTGGTGGCAGCGGCGGTGGGTCGATCCTCTCCCCGGCGGCGGTCGGTGGTCTGATGACCGCGCTGCTGGCCGTCAACCAGCCCGATAACAGTGCGTGTTTTTTTCTTCTTTTTTCTGCGGAAGAGCCGGCGGCGAAGGGGAGAACCTCCTTCCCTCGTTGCTCCTCTTTTTTTTTTGGTCGTGCCCTCCTTCGCTTGTCCCTCTCCCGCCCACACCCACACATGCCCTGGTTTATGCAATCCCGGATCTGGGTGTCCTTCTTCCCGTCTCCTGACCCTCCTCTTCTCCCTGTCGCTTCCCTCCTGCCCCTGGGTGTGTGTGTCTGTCTGTGTGCGCACTTGTCCCCCTCGCCAGCTATTTTCGGCAAGTACCCCCACCTGCTGATGATGCTGTCGCTGGCCATGCGCCCGCGCATGCTCATCACCCTCGATGCGGAGTCGCTTTCACCGCTGGAGGTCCCGGTGCGCGTCGGCCAGGCCGTGGACACCGTGGCTCAGGCCGGCCGGCCGAAGGCCATCGCCGGCTTCCAGACTCACAAGACCCCGGTCCTGGTGGCGTCCGGCGAGCGGGCCGAGCTGGCCTCCGAGGAGTACATCCCGGTGTCCTCCCTGCTGGAGGGCATCATCCTTCTGAAGAAGAACCCCTCGTACGTCCCGCCGGAGCACAGCGCCCTCTGAGCAGGCGGCAGTTGTGCATGCGTGCATGCGTGCGTGCGCGTGAAAGTCAGAGACGAGCCTTCTTCACCCCCACCCAGCCCCTCTCCCTCTTTCCCGCCCTTCGGTCGGCATGGCCCGCCCCCCCCCCCCCCC